TTCATATTTAAATATTTTATACATCATGTGATTTTCGCAATGAGTTTATCGTTTTAGGCCAAAGAAACTTGAAGTTTCTTCCTTAGTCGCTGCGGCGACAAAAAACGCTTAAGTTTGTGCTTTTAAAAAATATTAAGAGAATTTTTGTACGTGCCCTTTTCTTAAACCTTATTCAACTACTACATATTAAAATGATATTTAATTTCTATTAATATATATACTTTATTTATTATTATAGAGTTGTCGAGATCTAAGATTTCGAATATTCATTTTTACTGTTAATAAATTAAATAATAAAATTGAGATTTAATCTCCCGGCAGCGCGTTCTTCTAAAGCAGAATTTTTCACAACCTGGTAATTTATATATTAATATAGTTCACTTTTAAAAAAGATCACATATTCGCCACTGCAAATTTGCGAATATGCGATGGCGCACATTTTCTAGTCAATGTTCGATTTTTCACTTTTATAATATGAAATTGCCACTAGCACAATTTCAACTTTGAAAATTTTAAATGCACATTGACATGGAGTAATATTAACTTCTAGGTTAACATGTATTATAAAATTGAGTTTTGAACATGTTCAATATTATCCTTTATATGTATAAATAGAATTGAATCGATGGTAGAAAAATTATTTTGAGGTCATATAATTTGAGACAGCAATTTTCATAGTAAGTGTAAAATATAATTAGGACCACTATTTCATATTTGGTTTTAATAGAGACACGATGGAAAATGAAAAAACTTTTAAACCCAACGTAACCAACACATAGTTTCGTAATAAAAGCTAAAAATAATAATATTAGAACTTTTAAAAAATGGATACACGATTGACAAAAATAATAATTGTTCTAGATTAAACAACTTCAAAAATAATCAATTATTTGTTGTTAAGTATACTTTATGCATATAAGGCTGTAAATCTTTTGTATCGGCTATAGATTTGCAATAGCGTTTACATCAATCTGACACATTTGAATATATTTGACATTTTCAGTTTTTTTAGTGTTATTGCGAACCAGTATTTCTACTTAAAATCGGTTTTGGAATTTTATAATTTTATCATGAAAAAGAAAAGCGGTTTTCAAAAACCGATAAAACCAAGTAGAAACATATTGAAAAATTAAGAAATTAACTATTTTCTCAAAATATTTCGATCATCAATTTAATTCTATTTATCCCGACCGCGATATTAATTATCTTGCTACCTTATGGATATCTTATTTCAGTGCTAAAATTTTTGGCAATTAGGACATAGGTAGAACCGGCGCTGGCGACCTGGGCACCAGGGTCGAATTCTTGTTACCTGAGCGATTCGTATCTGACGCCTCCACCGGCCGGTGTGATTTCATGTGTGCACTGCGGCTTTTTACTTTTATGAAAACTCTGTAATTAAATAAATTTATAATTAAAAAATGCACACTTTTCTGCATGTATAAATGTACATAATACTAGGGTAGAGCGGCGCTTAGAGGTCCGCGTATAAAAAGATCCACCATAATTATTTCAAAAACAAGTAAAGTAAAGCATTTTTTAACCATACTATTCTAAAGTAGAGCAAAAAAAGATATGTAACCAGCCATCACCTTAATTTTTAGAAGATCACTATCGGGAGATAAAACCATGTATAAAATATTCATAACAAAAGTATTTTTTTTCGTTATTTAGTTTTATTTACTATGAGCTCTCTAATTTAGTTTATTATACTTGAATATAAATTTTAGGTATAAGCTATTTTTTGTATAAATAGTATTACTATTTTAAATTCCTCTAAAAAAGCTTACATGTGGGTGGATAGAAAAGACCAATCAAATCTTTACACTGACAAAAGGGAATTAAGTTAAAAATGCAATTTTAATAAGATATAATTGAATTAACCGTTATTCCAAGACTGGCGATGGATTGTTTTTGACAAAGTACCAGATCAAGGTGTATACAGTAATTTTTTTTTTTAAAAAAATGTGCCTATGAAATTTGTATTTTGCATTGGTTAAATAACGAGTATTATTTCGTAAAATCAAATTAAAATAAGGTATTGGATGTGTTTGCCTCTGGCTGTTGCTTTTTACGTCTATAAGGACAAATAACAAATGACAAATTCAAAAATAGTTAAAAAACGATTCTATGATTAGAAATAACATGGAAATTTTATTGAAAATAGTTAGATAGTTGTTGATTTAGACGTTTATGTGTGTATTTTAATTGGTTCGATAGCTGTTTGATTTAGACGTGTTATGTGGTATTTTAATTGGTTTAGACGGTATAATCATTAAAAGTCAAATTGACCCTTGGAGCCCTGACCTACCCTACTCTAAATATTATTAATTTCTGTATTGAGCAAATAATTATCTGGATTATCAAAGTAAGACACCGCTGTTGATATCGTTAAAGTTTTATTAATTTAGCACTGTGAAAAATTAAATAAATTTGGAAAAATATTCTTGATAAACTACAAGACCGGCGTCTTAACCGTTATACCCGTGGTTTCCAACCTGTGAAACGTACTTCCTTAGACGCGAGGCTGATTAGCTGTTTAGGGCGTACAGCTGTTTCTAAAATATTGTTTTCGAAAACTAAACAATTTTTTTGGAATAATGTAGAAAAATGAACAAATGATTATTTCACATTTATATTTTTACATAAAAACTAGTAGAAGCAAATTGAAAAATTATAGAAATAAAAATTTTTTCTCATAATATTTTCGCAAAGGTTTTCGCAAAAGGCTTACAGCTGTTTTTAAAATATTATTTTCGAAAATTAACCTAAAATTTCCAAATAATAATGAAAAATGAGCAAATAAATAATTATTTTGCATTTATATTTTTACACATTGCAAATAAATTTGCAGTTTGATAATTAATTATAATAGAAGTTGAATATTTATGAAATTAAATTGTTAAACAAATTAAGCAAAAAAGAACGTTTTTTTAATTACAGAAGGACGCGGTATGGAAAGGTTGGAAACCACTGCATTACACAGTGGACCACTAATTGATGTGAATTATGTTTCGTAGTACGATAATGTTAGAAAATGGTTTTATACACTAATTAATTGATTTTTTGTTTGAGTCTGATTGACTGGCTATCGTAGTAATTTTTAAAATAATCAACTTTTAAATTTAAAAAAATGTATATACAATAATATTCAAATCTCTAATACATATCTTCAATATGCACTAGTTTATGATACATAATGTTGAATGTGTAAGATATAAGAAGTTATTCAGCGGATTTTTTAAATTGTTATGCAAACTACTAAGACTTGCATTTTGAATGCATTTTATTCTCTTTCCTGTCTGGAGATTTTCGGCAAAATGATTCTAATTTATTTCATTCTTATAATTCTTAAGATAGATGCGAGGCGATCAACAATTAATAATTTTTGCTTATAAAATACATAAACATTATACTAACAATAAGTCCCGAAGATTTCTGGAAAACTTGTATTCATAATTTATTATTCCTAAACCTATTATTTTCATAATAAAAACAAAATTTTGTTATAGGTTTTATGGTAATGATAAAACTAACTATTATTAAGTAAATATAATTTATGTAGCATGTAATACAATAAATATGAACAATAAAATCAAATCAACTAATTGCACTAATTGTAAGACATAACGCAGGTTAGTTCGACTCAAAATTTACAAGACCTTTGTAAATGCATTAATAACAAATATAGAAAATATTCATTCAGTATTAAAACAAATAAAACGTTTGACATCGTTTCTAAGATGCTTTTCTGTGTCGTGTATTTTTACGGATTGTTCCATATTTAGTTTTAAATACAACAGTTTTGGACATTTTAGTGAACACACATTTGGAAAGGAAAACACGTTCAGACGACACGAAGTCTTGCAACAACAATTTTACCTGCTTTTAACGTTTTATTGGTCATTGTTTTGATTTTTGTTTTTTGAATGTTTTCGAATATTTTGGACATCCCTTGAGATAAATCAAAATCCACAGAAAAAGGCTGGTGAAACAAAACAAGGTAAATAGAAAATTAAATAAATCGTTCAACAAAATATAATATTAACAAAAAAATTAAGAATTTGAGATATTCAAGATAACTTTATAAGACACGACTACAAATCAAAAGAAATATTAAAAAATTATTAAATATTTTATCATAAACATCAAAGACTTCCTATAATTAAAACTACACTTAATTATATATACAGGGTGTCCTAGATCTCAACACCAAGCCGAAACTGTGCGATGGTAATGACCATAACTATCATAAAAAAGAAATTGAAAAAAAAAATCTATGTACTTTCCAAATTACGAGCTTTTAAGTGCAGCCTAGATAGTAGAGCCTTGGATATACTGTGAACATTTATCGGTTATTCTAGTTAATTTTCACTAATTTTGTTCATTTAAGCTTTAAGTAAATAAATAACCCAGTAAACACCATGTGGTTTGAGCGGCGGTAGCAATCTGAAATCCACAAGCGTGTGTTCAGCGCTGTAACACTCATGTAGAATTTATGTGGATTTCAGATTACTACCGCCGCTGGGTGTTTACTGGGAAGTAAATAATATTTTTAGAAACAGCCAAAAATATCGACACAATTGCTTCAGGTTTTCAAGATTTGCACGGACGTTAACCATTTCACAATCCTGATTTAATCTGCAAACTTTTAATGAAACTTGCCAATATACTTTAGTATATATTTTTGAAAACAGAATCCTTTAAAGTTGACCAATTTTGAAAATTTTGAATTCATAGCATAAAAAAATCTTAATTCCTGAAAACCTGGAGCAATTAGTCAATATTTTTGACAGTGATTCTAAAAATATTTACCGTTACGAATCCAAAGCTTAAATGAACAAAATTAGTAAAAATTAATTGCAATACCAAAAATATTCATAGTCTGACCAAAGTTCTAAGTTACATTTAAAATCTCGTAACTTTCAAACTACATAATTTTTTTTTATTAATTTTTCCAACAAAGTTATAATCAATACTATCACCCCGTTTTGTCTTGAAATTGAGTCCTGGGATACCAAGTATTATATGTACTTTGGTAATATCTTGGTTTAATGCTTTTTATTCTTATTAAAATGATATTTGATAATGAAATTATATCTGTATTTTATCAGTTACGTCTACTCCGAGATTTAATCATTATAAAACTAAAAAATAATTAAATAATTATAACACAACTAAAGCACAAAAGAAAACTTTGAAAAAAATATGTAATTATTCATCCTATATATGTTTCTATATATAAAAGAACGAGGAGAATCATTTAATCGTATCTTTGAATACCTAATTTAATCTACTTTTATATATCATAATTACTTATACGTACTTTCCACAGATCCTGCAAGGGTACTCATCCGCGGTCTGATCGTGGGCGGTTAATTGCTGCTGCAGCAATGAAGTTCCTGTCAATGTTGTAGTACACACATTTGCAGTATGACTAACATTATTACTTGCTGTTTGCTGAGACACTGCCGAGTTCCCTCCTGCGCCACTACAGTGGATTCTGGTGTGACCATGAAGGGCTGCTCGGGAACTGAAGCTCTGGGGATAGAATTGATAAAAATAAGAAGTCATGGTCAATATATTTAGTTTTATGAAATTTGTAAAGATGAAGCATTTTAAGAGTTTACAAATTATGTAATATGTAACAATAAAAGTTGAGCTAAAGGGCTGAAAGTAAGTCCAATATTTTTGATATCCAAAGCATACATTTGAAAAGTTTAAGTAATATTGTAGTTGCATCTTGGTACGTCTCCAATTTTACAAAATACAATGAAACACGTTACGCAGATGAAGTAATTAAAAAACAGTAGTAGTTTCTCATATTAACTACATGAAAACTCCGAAAAAGTGGAATTGTTTTGTATGTTTTATTACTTACTGCAGAGCAATCAGGCATTTCGCAATGGTGAGGTCTGGAGTCAACTACAGCTGGTACTCCGCTGGCAGTGACCGTTGAATGTGCTGTAACCATGGTATCTTCTTGCACAGGAACCCGCTGAGTGGGAAAGAAGGATTTGTAGTCACCAGCTACTTTCTTCCATATGTAGTAAAATGCAACGCATTGACTGACAGTTTTATTTCCAATCTGAAAGAATAATTTATTTGAGAAATAAATTAAATTGTTTTATGACTTACTACAATGATCACAGTTCTAGTAGAACTTCAGATAATATTACTACTAAAGGTCGTTAAAAATTTATATTTAACAATCTACCAACCTCTCTGGAAATTGCTCCAAAGTCTTTCCGCCACCGCATCACTCCTGCTTGGAAAGCATCAACTTCGTCCCTCGTCCAGGTTGTAGGTTCACTAGCAGCAGCAATGGACCTTCCTGCCCCACTTCGTATGAGTGCCGCTTTAGCTACCGTTGTACTGCCGCCGCGTCTCATCAATTCAAGTAAAGCTTCTTCCTCACCTAAAGAGCCGCTGCTCCAAGTTGATGAAGGAGCGGAGCAAAAACGTATGTAACGGTCAACTGTAAAAAAAAAAAAAATCAATTACAAAAAATCTTATTGCATATTATAAAAATAAATAAATGTATTTATTTATTATATAAGTATAAATTCATTACCTTGTTCATCAGAATCGTTGGTTATGCCAGGATCCCATAGCAAATGCTCCCTAATTGGATCATCCATTTCTCTAAGAGAGGAACATTCAGGTATTGATGCTTGGTATGCTGTACCGATATTAATCATTGGTTCAGAACTCTCTCCTAGTTCAGCACTATTTTGTTGAATGTTTATTCCAAGTTGCCTAAACAGACCGGTGCCAGTCCTGTCTGGATCAAGCATAGGTGCAGGCGTAAACTGCAGGGGCCCGCTAAGACCAGCTTTTAGTCTGAAATAATAATATTTTATTTTATCACTCCTAATTATGTCAAATGTTTATATGGATCAGATGACCAAATGTTTATAATAAAATTATTAGATGTACAAACCTAGAACAATATAATTTTCGGTAGCAAGGCGCTATCTCTCCTGTTTCTGTATCTGCGTCCCCAGACCACATTTCCAAAGAACGTGGTCGTTTTCGGGAACGGGTTACAGATTCACACATGTAGCTATTTGAATCATCAGTTTTTGACCCACTTTCCACGTAGGAATATCTAAAGTAAAACAACTTGTTTATTGGAAAATAAAAGTTGATATAAGAAAAGTGAAGAAAACTTATTAGTTTATTTTAATCATCATTGAGAAATAGCAAAATGACTAATTAATACTGAAAAATAAAATTAATACTTTTGTTTTTACAAAAACTTGGTACAAATAAATCGATTTTTACTGGTATGGCGATGCATAAGATATTTTGTCAATATTCTCAAACAACATTTGTCAAGAACTTTACTATGTTATGAAAATACGAGGGTATTTAAAAGATGTTAGAAGTCAAAAAGCTAGAAACAGAAAACTTACCCGCGTCTTAGATTTCGATTGATAAATTCGAACTTTTTCCTTCCAGCAAAATCTTTAGGGCTGCTTGACAATAGTGGATCATCTGAATTGGGCATCATCATTTGTTGAGCAGTTTGCAAGTATGACATTTGTAAAGGACTTTGTGGGTCATAGACATCCATTTCTCCTGGTAAAACCTAAATATAAAATGGTCTTAGTATTTCAAGAAAACATGAAATTATTTATTAAATTCATACAAGAAGTAAATTTTTTTTACACTATGAATTAATATTTAATCATCTAGTAGATTGTCTAATCAAACAGTCATTAGTTAAAACAATATTTAAGAAAAAAAACTAAATATAATGTGTTATATTGTTCCATAACACGTAAATAAAATGAAATAAAAATAATTTAGTAAAACTTTCATGTGTTTGACCACTCACAGTTTCTAGAGCTTCTTCAACTTCTTCGGCGCTGGACATCGTTGCGGTAAAGAATGCAGCAGATAGGGGACTGCTGCTTTGCCTTGCTTCTTCCAAAGAGAAACATCTTTGTTGTTGTTCTATATTTCGTTCTAAAGAACTAAGTGTATGTTGTTCTAATTCCAACGAATGTTGGTCTAACGTGTTTTGCTGCTGTTGCTGATCGAGCGCACTGTGCTGTTGAAGCCTTTAAAAATAATAATAATAATTAGCCATCATTCACAATAATATTTGTTTTGATTGATAATTAAATCTATTTGGTTCAAGTGTAGTATGTTGAATCAAATATTAGTAACTTACTCTTGTTGAAGATCCAATGTATGTTGCTGTTGCTGTTGCAAATCAAGCGAATGTTGTGAAGCCTGAGTTTCGTGGGATGCTGGTGGCGTGGGATAGCCTAAACCTGGCGAATCACAAGGATAACGCAAGGGCGATGGTGGTGAACCAGTGTACATTAGGTATCTGCAATTATTTTAAATAAAATTACAATGTTTTATAAAGAATATGTACCAACACTTAGAAATGCTAATACGCATCAGTGATGAGTCAGATCGATGATTGAGAAGTATTTTCAACTTACTCTTTTTGGTAAGCCGCAAGATCTTTCGGCGAATGTGGAGGATCTTGATAAGCTCCTAATTCCGCGAGCCCTTCTGGAAGTGGTGAATCCAGTACAGCCCTGAGTTCTCTTGTCACAGGTGCGAATAAAGACCCAGTGGTCCCACAACCGGAGCTGGCTGAGAAACCTAAAATGAAAATGATAATAAACAAAAGTAGATTTTTTATACTACTCTTTTTATACTAAAACTATTTTATTACCTTCAGGGCTTTGGACATCGAGATCAGCAGAAACTGCAGCATAATCTTCTAAGCTCGCTATATCTTGTAAGGTCTCCTGCTCTTCGGAATCTGTTTCCTGCTGCAATAACTGAATGGAATTCACCGCCTAAGTTAATAATATTTATTTAAAGTATTAAGATGTGAATCTACTAATTTTTTTATGTTATCAAACTTGATAATGAGTAATATAATAAAATAAATAAATAAAGACTCAATATTGCAAAAATACTGATAATATATGTGATAGAACAGCACTTTGTTAGATTATTGCATTAAAGTTTGAAAACAAAAGAAATTTTTACCATAAAATCTGCACGCAATTTGTTATAAATATTTTTCTTAACTTTGCATAAATGTTTAATATTGGTTTTTGTTCATATTCATGTGTTTTTGATGAATGAGCTTAAAAATAGTAAATATTCACTTGAAAACATCTTTGGAAGAAAATAGTAATAATTTTTATTAATATCTTTTGCAAAAATTCTAATTACCTGAAGTAGCATCGCAGTATCTTGGACATATACCTCATCACCAGCGGTGTAAAAAGTATTAGTACTTCCAGTGGTTGGATTTTGATAAGCTAACGTAAATACTTCTCCTGCTGTAACACTGGCAGTTGTATTTGTCTGCTGCAGATTAAGTTGGACGGAAGCTGATGCACCAGAATCTGACAGAGATCTTTTTACTTGGAGCTGTGGAATATTCAGACAAAATAATAAGATAATTGTTAAAAAGTTACTATAACCTATTAAATCGATAAACTAACCTTGGTTCCACGTTTGAGGAGTTCTATAAGTGTGGCGTCCTTTCCATTGTTTGTTGTCGTAGTGGTAGGTTCAGTGTATTGCGCTTCTCCTTCTGAACTTCTTCTTGGAGGAGTCGCAGGTACAGCAAAATCACTGCTGCGATTTATTATCTGTTGAACCTGCTGACGGGCAACCTGCTGCACCTTAAAAGAATACTTTAATTAATCACAGAAGATTTAATTGTTAGTACAAAATAATTTAGTTAACGCTTGGTCAAATTTATTACAAGAATACAAAATGTTTGGATTCAGCATTTAAATAGTTAGCAAGCCAATGGCAAAGTTTTATTTAATTATTTTAAGTATTTCAACTGCGCAATTAAAATCTGTTACTCTATGTTAATTAACATCGAAGTACCAGATATTGCAATTAAAAATGTTAAATACTAATTAAATGATTAGAGAATTAAAATCCTCTATTACCTGAGGTGTTGTAGATGTGGGTGTTGTAACAGTACTGCGCTGTTGTCTGCTTATAATTTTTTCTTCTATCAGAGCACGAACACTTTGACTTGCAGTTTGTAATGGAGGCAATGCTGATTCTTTTTTATCGGGTTTTTTGTTATCAGAATCCTAAATCAATCATTCACATAAATTAATAATATATAATGTAAAATTAATAACAATAAACATCAACACTTGTGTCCTAAACTTTATGATATTTCAACAACTTTCGAATCACGTAACATCAATGGTGTCTGTAGTGCAAAAGAGTTCGAGATATTAGAGGTTCAAAAATAATTCTATATAAGAAAATTCAAAATTCAGATATCCTTCGAGTACTTCTTATTAAATTACAACTGTAAATAGATATCAAGATATGAAATTGTTGTTAATCCATTTGCCAAATACAGCACTAGTATATTTTAAATTGAAGTAGTTTTAAGATGCTCTCAAGATAGATAAATGATGGTTCTTCTATTACAGATTTGATTACCTTTTTGAAATAACCTCCATGCAACCTCATATGTCCGTTAAGAGCTGGTATATTTTTAAACTTCCGATGACATAAATTGCATTCAACCGGTTTCGGTTCTAATTGATCAACAGTTCCTGATTTGTTAGTATCAGAAACACTGCTATGAACGCTGTTGCCGTTGCTGCCGTTGGATATTTTCACTGTTGCTATGTTGGTACTTGTGACGGCGGTTGTTGATGTCACATTATTTGTTTTTTTCTGTGATTGCTGCAATTGTGTCTGAAACAAAGACACAGAATGTATATTTGTTTATTGAGAAATGATTTAAAAAAAAATAATAATAATTTAAAATTGTGTTTAAATAATAACATCAATAAGCTAGTGTGTTATGCTCAACCAATATTTGATTTTAACAAGTTTTGACTTCTATAGATGTGTTACAAAGTATCACTTTTGCCTATATCACAAACGTAAGAGTTTTGACAAGATTAGTTGCAGTTGGTATTCAACAAATGTGATCTGCACAGTTTTATTTATCCTTTAATATCTGATTAGCAATGAATTATCAATGACGATATGACCAGGAGAAGTCTCATTCCCCTTAAGAGTTCAAGGACAATATTTAGGACAATAATCTTTTTAGACAGTATTATACATATTGACACAGTATAGATTAGACACATATGAACTAATCGAACAAATTTTACTGAGCAGAATTAAATATATACTCAGTGACTTTCTTCATATAAATTTGCAACCAACAGTGAGGGCTAAAACCATAAATCTCTCCTGAAATATTGCGGTACAATTCTTCGCTATTCAATAATACAAGAACACTATTTATATTTTTATTTTATCAAAAACAAAATAATATTAAATATTAATTAATTAATTAATATTCTATATTATTATTATTAATATTATGGAAATGCTATTAATATTCGCACGTCATTAATAATGTATGGTTGTTTTTATATTCATTTATAGAAATTAGATGGATTGACATAATAAATAAGTAAGTTTACCTAATGAAATATTCAATTATTATTTGAAATGGTTAATTTCAGAATAAAAACATGTCCGTAGTTTTTACCCCACCTGCATATTCCACGTTCTTGGAGGTTTGTTGTTTCTATTAATATTTTGTTGCTGTAATGACTGCTGCTTTGTCTGCTGCATAATTTGGCTTATAAGTTCTAATTGCTGCGTTGTTAAACCTAAATAAATAAATAATAAATAATTGATATACAAATTAAATTAACTTATTAAAAACTATTAGTGCTAAATATTATTTTTGTGTAACATAATAAACCATTTGTACTAATTAAATAGCATTAAACTCAATTATAAAAAAATTAAAATAGATTAGGTCTGTGAAATGTTAGCAGTCAAATTGACTCCGTAAGGGATCAAAATATTTAAACGATTAAATCAAGGTTAACTGATATTTAGTAAAACTAAAATATATAACATAAAAAATCAAAACATAAACTATCAAAAATTTTAATCATATATTACTTTTTAAATTATTTCAATTGTATATAACTTTCACCTTCATTGCCTGCGCCAGCACTAATTGCTGTCGAGCTTGTGGAATTACTACGTGAATGTGTATGATTTGTGCTGCTGCGGTGGCTTACTGTTGCTGTCCGATGACCAGACTGAGTTGGAGAAGCCACGTACTGGATGCAGGAAGAACCATGAGGTGATGATGCATCACCTGAAAATTAAAAAAAGTTTACTTTAATAATTACAGAAAAATTATAATAAATAATAATCTAATATTTAATAGGGAATATAACCATTGACCAAAAATAAAACTTTTTTTTGTTTACATTAGCAATTAGAATACAAAATTCTCTAAGAAATTTAGTTCAATTATGAACACACATATGAAATTATTGCTTTAATTGTTTGTATATTAATAGAGGTCACTCCAATATGTTGCAACCAGTTGGTTCACCAAATGATGCAACCAAGTACATCATTCATCAATTCAGCACGGTTCTCCAAAGATGTAGTAAAGTTAAATTAGAGATACCTTGAATGTTGTTGTCAGGGATCATCTTTTTCAACCTTTTCCAAACTGATGTTTAAAGCAGTTAAGGGATTATAGAATTAGTGTGATTTTCAAGTTTGAGGAGATGCATGTTGAAAAATGCTTAACTTTATTACGGTGTCTATAAAATTATATTCAGATCGTCATGTAAGGTTTTATTACTGACAAACCAAAGAGCATCAGTATTCAGTCGTAAAATTCAACTTTTAAAGCAAAAAATACTATAGAAAAATTGTAAGGAAATAGAAGGTTTTAATCATTTTGAACATGTAAACACAGGTAACTACTGGTAGATAAAATAGATAAAGAAGCTTGTCTACGCGTGAGAAAATAAGTAAATATTATTATTATTACCTGATGCTGTGGATGGGGATAACGAGCTCGCAGCGGAAGGCGATCCCGCCGCGGTCTCGGCATTGGAAGCACTATTGTTATTATTGCTGCTGGCGGTGTTGCTGCCACTAACCGCACTCTGATTTCCACTTGAACCATCTGTTGCCGTTGAGGAACCATGATGGTTCTCGCGATGACGCCGCAATGACCGTGCATCGCAGTAGGATTTGCCGCAACCTTCAGCCTTACATTCATAGGGTTTCTTGTTCCGGTGCGTTAACATATGACCATTTCTTAAAAAAAAATAAAAGAATTTGTATTAATATTCATATTCAAAAGTACTATCAATGATTAGTCAATACTAAATATTAGTAATTTCATAAATAACCTATGTTTAGGTAATGTTTAAAATTGACTGTACTTACAGATGGTCTTGTCTTTTGAATGCTTTAGCGCACATAGTACAAACGTATTTGCGCTCATCACTATGTGTCAGTTTGTGCTTTGCCAGAGCAGAAGCGTTTCCAAAAACTTTGCTGCACATCTGCAAGAAAAAATAATATTTTTAGTATTATACCTCGCATTACGTGCTCTCGCACATTGGACGTCACAAACCCCTTTTTGGGGCACAAACGTTCCACACAACGAGACTTTGATTGACACAACGTACTGAACCGTTGTCTAGTCACAAAAAAGGTTGCCGAAGTTAGTTTAGAGCTCAAATTTTTGCTCCCTTTGAGAAAATATGTTTGATTGAGAAAGAGTTCACACTTAAAACACTTTCGTTACAGTATAATTCACATTCACACACCAAAAGTCTTAAGAAAATTTTGGCGGTTAGTCGATTTTTAGTGCCTTTATAAAGAACTTTTTGGTCTAATTAAAACAACTGCAAGAATTCATAAATATTCTCTTTTAAAACATCACTGAGGCTAAGATGATCAGCAACTTGTGCAAAGACAAGCTTGTCTATAATTTTGGCAGGTCTCAAAAAAAAGAGTAAAACAACTATAGATAGTTTATTCAAGAAATCAGGAGCTAAAAAAGGGATCAGTACCACTTTTCTGAATTTCTATTTTGTAGTACAAAAAATAAGTCTCTTTTAGGTATTTATTATCAAGTATTTTAACATCTTAAAATCCTGATTAAATGCGCCAAATTTTTATGAAACTTGCCAACACACTTAAGTACTTATTTTCAAAGGAAGGCCTTCCAAAGTTTTAAATTTTTTAAATATATTGTTATAAAGAAGTATAATCAAGTAATAAACTTGTAAGAAATATAGTTATAAACAAGTAATAATCAAGTTAATAAACTTGAGTCAATGGTGGTGTTTTTTTACTGTGGTCCTACAAATGTTATTCACGGTTACGGTTCCAAAGTTTAAATGAACAGAATTAGTAAAAATTAACTACAATAAATAAAAAATGGTGATAATTTCATTAAATCTTTGGGTTGAATTTAAAAGCTCATAATTTTCAAACAACGTGAGATAATTTTTTTTCTATTTTTTCAGCATAGTTAAGGTCAATACTATCACTCCGTTTCGGCTTGACGTCAATGTCTGGAACATCCTCTATATATTTATATGTTAATATTAGAAAATATTATATTTAGCTGTTAGTATTGTATTATCATCTAAATCCAATAGTATATAATTGAATAGACCATTTATGTTCATGTGAATCGATCTGATCTTGAGGAATTAATAATTTCATTCTGAATACTTGCATATTGATAGAAAACACTATTTTACAGCTTATATAACTATGAAAATAAATTCTTAGGGACCGATTCTACCGCATAACAGATAAATGTTATGGGAAGGCTGTGTTACGCCCCAACTTCCATACATTATGCTACTGAATCATAATGAATACTGTCAAAACGTCATGTATTTGCTGTACATTCAGGTGTTTTACACATAAACTGCAACGTCACTCGTATGTTACGAAGCTGGGTCGGAAAAACGCCGTTATCTAACATCGTTTTTTGACATTTGTACGGTTTTTAGGTTATGATCTCTATCGGACAATCTGAAAAAATCGCATAGCAACCGTATGGCATTTGTCAATATTTAGAACAAATTTGTTTGGAAATTTCTTCATAACATAGCCTTGCCATAACAATGGTCTGTTATGCGGCAGTATTGATCCCATAATACATTAAAAACTAAGCATTATAAATATCAAATATTATAAAAAGTATGAAAGCAAAAATTCTATACAAATTAGGTATATTTTTGGAGTTAAATAATAAGATAATGTAGATGTGAAATTAATCTAATATTTCAAACCTGGCACTGTTGCGGTCCTTGCCTCGTCGGCGAGGCAGCCTTCGGCCTCGGCCTCTTCGCCGCCTGAATTCGAGCCGTCTCCGTCGTAGTTGTTGTGGTTGCTACCGGTTCCGCCGTGCTACTTGCTGTAATTGAAAATAATCATCCAATTCATCAAAATTTATTTCAATTAGTATTACAGTTGAATAATAATCATTAATTCAATTACACGACGTATCCTTTCAGTAGCAACTCCTTTGTGGATACAAGCAAAGATCTAAGGATAGCGATCCGTTTCGAATTTGAATGCTACCTTCGTACTGCAATAGTGTTATTCACTTTGTAATTCTAGAAAATGCTTTGATGGTCTTAATGATAAACCTTGGTAGAACATTTTAATTGGTCTTGTAGTTGGAGGAAATTACTTACTACAACTCTTTTATTTTAGTGCACGTTTACAATGGATAATTTAAAATGATGAATAAATTGTAGTAAGTACTTTCAATTCAGGTGATAGTTTTCTTATATCTTATATATAAAAATGAATCGCAAAATGTGTTGGTAACCGCATAACTCAACAACGCCTGGACCAATTTGGCCAATTCTTTTTTTTAAATGTTCATTCAAGTCCAAGAATGGTTTCTTACAGCGAGAAAAAATCAAATAATTGCCGGGAAAACCCTAAAAAACAGCCCTTTTTATTTTTACATATAAACGTTTTTTTAACGTAGAATCAATTTGAGCTTCAATTTTTATAATGTGTAAATAAATTAGCTGAATTAGAGAATTTATGAAGGTCAATTTATGAAGATCTACCAATTAGTGGACAGGTAAATTGGAGGATGTGTAAAATGATAAATTGATAAACAGGTTGATAGGTAAATTAGTAAACAAATTGTTGAACAGGTATATTATTGAATAGGTTAATTGGTAGATATTTAGAATGGGATGACAGGTAAATTGGTTGATAGTTAAAATGATGTTTTGATAAGACAGGTAAATTGATAGACAAGTGATTTAGTAGACAAGTAAATTGAAATGAAAAGGTAATTTGTTGGATAGCTGGTGGTCAGGTAAATTGACGATATGTAAAATGGTAGACAAACAACTGGTAGATAGACAAATAACAAGACGGATAAATAGGTTGACAGGTAAATTGGTAGACATGTGAAACGGGTGGATAGGTAAATAGGTTAACAGGTAAATTGGTAAGCCGGTAAATGGTAGATTGATTGACAAGTTGATAGTTAAATTCGTAGACAAATTGTTAAATAGGTAAATTGTTGAGCAGATAGTAGTAACGTTAAACTAAATGTAATAAACACACATATTTAACTATTAACTATATATAATAAATATGCTTGAAAATAGATGTTTAACTAAAGCAAGGCGTACCTTACAATATGAGGCATATTTATAATAATTTATGAAATTAAATAATTTAATTGAGTATTAGAAAGACATTGAAGACAAATATCCATAAATGTCATAATAGACAGATACGTGGATTATTTTAATTCTAAAAAAGGTAATTGATTATTTAACTTGTGGTAAAAGGTAACAATTTAAAGTGATACAGAAAATACACGCCAAATAATTTTATTCCAAGCTATATTCAATCAATATATAATGGATTAATTTATTAGAAATTAGACATACTAAATTCTTACTTACTCTAGGTACGCTTTAAAAATTCCTAAATTTTATGTCACATTGGTTATTTATTCTTTATTCATACCACAGTCTAAGCTTTATTAGTAAGCTAATCAGGAAATATTGTAATGACTATTTATTTGCTTAATTAAATACTAAATTAATCGCTTTGCATATAAAATTATTCGCTACAAGACAGTTCACCAAAAATTGCCCAATAAATGAAGTAAAAAAATCAGTTGCCAAAAACAGAAAAATTGAGTTCCTACATATTAATTTACTTATTATTGTACCTTGTTCAGGTTCAGCAGGACTGCCGATGATGGCCAATTCCTGATCAGGACATGCCTCTAAGATGCCAAAAGAAGCAGTGCCGCCACCTTCTGCATCAACAACACCTGTGTTGGTCACAAGACAAAGTATAAAAAATATAACAAAACTAAACACCAAATGAACTTAATGAACTTTATCTATGAATTGCCTATTTCATATTAAATTAAAGTTTTGATTAACAAATCATATAATACATTTAATCACTTAATTTTATTTTTGACCAAATCGATGTTTATTTCACGATTTGTTGAATTAAATTAAAAAATAATTTTCTTTCACATGTATCATAAAACATTTTTAATTATCTTGTTTCGATGATGATTTGATCGAAATTGTAATTATTGTATTTAGGGCCCAGTTGTCGAATAAAATAGGCATGCTAAAGTAATGCTCTGATTACAGGTCTATAAATCGTACAAGGTGGTAATTACAAACTACCAAAAAGTTAGTGTCTCCAATTATTTTAAATAATGTCCAGATTCCGAAACAGAACATAGTGAAATATCTGGTCTCCATTTAGACAACAGACTTACTTGAAAAAGCCACATATAAAAAAAAAAAACAACAAATAATGATCAAAATGAAAGAATTAATTGGCTACTGCGTAAAAAGTGAAAAAAGTTGCTGCTATATAAATCAATTTAAACCAATCTGGACCTACGGAATTGAGCTCTGGGGATGTGCTTACAATCAAATATAGCTAAATGCAGAGGAGAACTAAGTTAAAAATTTAAGTACAATTCTTAATTCAAAGTTCAAAGAATTCAAAAAAAATACAAACGCCAAACTGGACTCACATTCGAACCCATCAATATAGTTGACATTACTCAACCTTTTGGCATAAGGAGATTGAAACGACAATGGCTTTTAGACTTCGTCTTAGATTGGTCTGTCTAATAACTATTATCATATTAATTGTAAAACTGAGATCTCATCCGAGTTCTTCTTAGGCATCGCTCTTAAATAATGTCATTAAGCTCATAGGAATCTTTTAGGTATTTCTGATTGCTAAATAAAACGGAGTTAAAAAAAAACACACACACAATTGTCAAACAACAATTTTATCATAAGTGCATCTAATCTAATATAATCTTTCTGATGTCTTTTGAAAACATGAAGTAAAGTTTTATGCGTAAAACGTTGATCACACAACAAATACAGTTAGTTTGTGACTACCAACTTATACGATTATAGATCCGTAACGTAGTGTTGCCATAACATACTTATTTTATTCCAGAGTTGATCTAGTCATAAAATATAAAAATATCTTAAAAAACGCAATTGAAAAAGGAGCTCTAAATATCATATCATTGAAGCATAGAAAAATAAATTCCTAAAAAATAAATAAACTTTTTATTGTTCCTGAATGATTTTTTTTTAATAAAGAATGATGAATCCTTAATGCATTATTTCAGTCAATTTTACAGTTGATTAAATATTCTAAATAAGACTATTTTGTTACGTACCGGCTGCGTGCAGTGTGCCCAGCATGTCCGCCAAAAGGTCAGCATCCGAGTCGTCTTGCAAGCGGGCCAAGACACCTCCGAAACCAAGGGCTGCGGCGTCCGCTGGACCTTCGGCCTCCCTCAGTTGCAATGTTACGGAACCCTCTGCGCCCATGGCCGCTGAACACATTAGGACAGCCGCCCTTGGCGCGGGGAATCCGGCTAGAGGAAGCCGTGTGCCGCCGGCTGTTACCTGAAAGGATAATATGAAATATGAAATTGTTAGCCAGAATTATTACTGTAAAAATGGACAAAAAAATTAATGCTATTTTGCCAATACATCCAATAAATTATATAACAAACCATTTGTTGGTATACTAAATAATAATAAGAGAGACTTGCTACGGTTGTGCCAGAGTACGATAGTGACAGCCGTTATAATATATCTGCTATATCATACTAATTTTGAGATAGGATCTAAAGTAAGAAAGCTTAAGTATGATTGTTCGAACAAGTTTCCATTATTGCTTTCAGTCTGCGCCTTACATTAACATGATCTGTATACCGCATTGCTTACAAAGAGTCAAAAGTAAGATTTCATGTTCGATTCTTTAATAATAAACTGTTAATTGTATCACAAAGATAACTTTTTTATTATATTGCTGTAAGTTGAACATTAGTAGTATTTATCAGCAATTAGTTTTTGCATAGATCATTTAGCTGAGTCAAAATGAGTTTAGTTGTAAAAATTTTGTGGGCACTGTTGTGATATGTATTCTGTCTTTTTCGGGTAGGTAAAGATTAAACAGACAAAACAATCTAACTTAAC